ATAAAAAATGTGGGGGTTTTTTAAAAAAAAGTGCAGAACAACCAAAAAAGCCTACCCAGTCTTTCTCTGCATGTCATGTCCCTGTAAATTCCAAATGCAATTTGCTTCTGCAGAATGTGGTTACAAAGCAGTGATGATTCCTGAGCTAGTCACTGAAGTCTGCACTTCCCAGAGCTTGTGCACCCTGTGTGGGCTCCTAAAGGCTTGACAGGCTGCACCGCTAAAAAAAAATCATGCCAGGTTGAGTGCCAGTGGCAGAACTGAAACAGTCTCTTCAGCTGTGCTGATGGTTGAAAAGAATTGAGATCAAAAAGATTCTATTTGAGAGTGAATATCTTTTCTAAAAATGATACCACCCTCAAGTTGCCTTGAAAATATTTCATCTGAGGGAAAAGTAGCAGAGATAGTTTGCTACCCATCTCTCTTGAGAGTGTGGTAAAAATTAATTGTGCCAGGCAAGTGCTTTGTAAAGTGTGTGTTTGAAATAAGTTGTAAAATGAATTTTTCTATGGTTATGGCTCTGAAATGTTTTCCTTTCCTGGACAGATGCACCAGCAAGGAATTCTGAAAACAGATGACCTGATCACCCGCTTTTTCCGTCTTTGCACCGAAATGTGTGTTGAAATCAGCTATCGTGCTCAGGCTGAGCAACAGCATAATCCTGCTGCCAACCCCACTATGATTCGAGCCAAGTGCTACCACAATCTGGATGCCTTTGTGCGACTTATTGCACTGCTAGTGAAACACTCTGGGGAGGCAACCAACACAGTTACAAAGATCAACCTCCTGAATAAGGTTGGGAACCATTTTTGTACTCATTGCATTAAAAAATGCATAATCAAGTGTACTTTTGCTGATAAATGTGAAATGTAGACCTTAATGCGGACTGCTGCTAAACTACCAGACGAGGACTTTAAAAGGTTGGTCAATAAACTGTTGAGTGGCACATCAGGATGCCAAGCGGCTTTTTCATTCACAAAGATTTCATATCAAACAATCCTGAGACTCACCTTTGTGCCTTGAAATGAAAAAGTCAACTGCTGCTGTTCTGAAGCATTAGAAAGTTTGGTTTAAGATTGATGATTCCTGGGTGTCTGCCTTGGTTTTGTGAGGGCCTTGCCTTACCCTACTTAGCTTTACGGTCTTAGGTAGTTAAGACCTTCCAACACTGCCCAGTCAGTCATCGTGACTGTGATCCACAGCACGGGGAGAGCAAAGTGTAGTGGTTGGGAGTTGATACAGATAATAATATTAATTTATGTAATGCTTTCAATACCTAGAATTTTTGGTTCTTGTTAGAATCTGCTGATTTTATTTATTTTTTTTAGCTGATGGTTAAAGCATTATCTATAAGCTGACTTGCAAACTAATTCTTGCTGTCACCACTGAAATGTCTTGATCTCTTCAGGTTCTTGGTATTGTGGTGGGAGTTCTTCTGCAAGATCATGATGTTCGGCAGAGTGAGTTTCAGCAGCTTCCTTACCATCGCATTTTCATCATGTTGCTGTTGGAATTAAATGCTCCTGAGCATGTGCTGGAGACCATCAACTTCCAGACGCTCACAGCTTTCTGGTACGTATTTGAGACTGACTGCCATGTTCATCTTTTCCTGGTAGGATCAAGATTTTTCACCTGAAGGCTGTCTGACTGTTCCTTTGTGGTGACTTAATCACATTTGGAATAACTGGTTCTCCTGTAAACTGTCCACTTGCTAGTTTGAAGGAAGATGACTGGTAAAACCCAAGATGCTGAAATGCCTCGCTTTTAGGGCTCTGTATGTTTTCCCTCAATGTTATGAAAAGCAATCTTATTGCTGTGCACTTCTAACTTGCTCTAACTTTTCTTTCAGTAACACATTTCACATCCTGAGGCCTACAAAAGCTCCAGGTTTTGTTTATGCCTGGCTGGAACTGATCTCCCATCGGATATTTATTGCAAGAATGCTGGCACATACACCACAGCAGAAGGTGTGACTGCAGTTTCTCTCTTCTGAATTGAAAAGCTCACACAGATGCTTATCTGGTGTGGTGCTGTTTCACATCTCTTGAAGTGCACTAGTAGCATGGCTGTTCTGTTTTTGTTGTCTTCCATATTCACAGTAACCTAACTGCATGAAGGGGAGAGTTTTTGTGTCAATTGACTGTGGAATATAAGGTGAAATTAATTTAACAAACATGCCTTTGTCATAGTCTGGAAGAGTTGTTGTCTAGATCAAATGTTATCAGCTCCGTATGGCATGTTGAGTGTTTTGGACCACTCATAGCACATGATGTGCAGCTAAAGCCCTTGAAATGAGCTCCTGCTAGAGCTAGCAGTCGGACAGAACTTCAGTGCAGGTTTATATGAAGACCAATCTAATTATGGTTTTGAAATTAAGATAACTACTCTTCATTGCATGTTTTCCACCTGCTGTTTTTTTTCTTGACAGGGTTGGCCTATGTATGCCCAGTTACTGATCGATCTTTTCAAGTACTTGGCTCCTTTCCTTAGAAATGTGGAACTCACAAAACCTATGCAAATTCTTTACAAGGTAAAAAAAGTCAGCTAATACATGCTACTTCCAACCAAAGTTGTCTAAAAATAGAGACTTAACTGTTCTTTTATAATTTCTATCTTAGAGTTAAATGCAAATCTGGTGTGGGACAGAAACAGGCTGCCTTCCCAGATGAATTTCTTGCTGTTAACGTTAACCACATGACATAGAAGGATGGCTCTGCAAGCTCTTGGGCAGTTTCAACAGTTCTCTTATATTTTATTTCACAGGGCACTCTGCGTGTGTTGCTGGTCTTGTTGCATGATTTCCCAGAATTTCTTTGTGACTACCACTACGGCTTCTGTGATGTGATCCCACCTAACTGTATTCAGCTAAGGAATCTGATCCTGAGTGCCTTCCCACGGAACATGAGGCTTCCAGACCCTTTCACCCCCAATCTAAAGGTAGGACTGACTTTGAGTTTGATAATGGGAACAGCTTATTTCGTGCTACAGATAATCTCTATTTAGTTTTTTGGTGGAGACTGTGTGGAATTTTTGGGAGCAGTTTAACTGATACTTGAATTAATGCAGCCATTCAGGAGTTAACAGGTAATTAGTGACATAGCAGCTTGCAGAACAGCATTTTTTTAAAGCAGGTGGGTTTCAATTATGTTCGTAATGCTCGATGTTTGACTGTTTCCATACAGAGCAGGACATAATCCTTGTCCTGTATAGAACTTGTTGCCGTTAGAAGTGTAAAGCTTGCCTCAGTCTGTGTGGCTTCATTGGCAACTGTAGATACTTAGCTCGTTTGCTAGGTCTGTGCAGGTTCATCCTGAAAGGACAGGCTGCTGAGACTTGTGTTACAGGAGATCTGCATCAAGAACCTAGCTTTTGCATGGAAAGCCAGAGGGCTTTTCTCCTTCCAAAGGGAGACTGACTTGATGGCATTTCTAGATGGGTCTGACACATGGTGTTGAAGCGAGGACATCTTTATCATTTTACTGTCTCTTTTGTCACTGGAAAACAGGCTGCTTAAGCAGCCTTTGTGGCTTTGCCAAAGCAAACCTGATTGAAAGTCCAGCCAAGAGTTCTTGGCTCAGTTTTGTGCAGCTTATGCTGGACAATATAGTTTGTGCTCTGCAGGATGTGTGGGGACTGGAGTTTTGTTCACTCACTGTTGAAGAGCTGGTGTCTGAGCGCCATGTAATTGTAAATACTTTTTGATGAGCAACACAGACACTGTCTTATCTTGAAAATAATTACATAAAGCACCATTCTGAAGCAAGCCTCTTGCATAATGGGGAGAGACTTCGAGAAGTGTTAATGTTATCTAATTAAATCTTTGGGCATATGCCAGTCTTCTAATCCTGGAACAGTTAGAAGCAAACTTTCTCACACTGCTAAAGCATTGTCCTGTTATTCTTCATTGCCTAAGCTACACAGGGTGATGGGAGTGAAGCTGCCACACTCATTTAGTTAGCAGTTCTTGAGACTGAAGAAGGCTGTTCTTGACTTAAGTGGATGTTTGTATCTTTTTAAACTACCGAACTGTCTTGAGGGTAGATGGAGAGACTTCAAAGGCAGTGACAGAATTCCTCTACGTCCTTCACCCTTGAATTCTTTTATCCTCTACTATCAGTTCTTCGAGATGGTCATCTAATAAGATTGCACATTAGAGACCAAGTTTCTTCTGAAATCTGCAGAAGTCTAATGTTTCCTTTTCATTGCTGGTAGGAAAAAGTGATCAACAGCAGTAGTTGATGTAATAACACTTACAGATCTGCTTTTGCAGTTTGTTCCTTTAGAGATTGCTTATGGTTTCACTGACGGGGTTTACTCTCAACAGGTGGACATGTTAAGTGAGATTAATATTGCTCCACGAATACTCACCAATTTCACTGGAGTGATGCCTCCTCAGTTCAAGAAAGACTTGGATTCCTATCTCAAAACCCGTTCTCCTGTCACTTTTTTGTCTGACTTGCGCAGCAACCTACAAGTGAGTGACTGTTTTCTGAGGATGCTGAATTTAAATAGTGTGGGACAAGTGATCTTCCTTTCTTGCAGGAATTCTGTTGGTGTGTAGCAAGCATCTGTTCCAGGCAGTAGAAAAGCCTCTGAAAATGCACATTTCTCTGAATATTTCCTCTGCCACTCCCTAGCAGGATGTTTTAAGTCTGTTAAGTATTTTCAGCCAAGTGGAATTTAAGGAAAGAGGAATGTTGACTTTAACAACCCTAAAATGATCTAATTTAAAAAGCAGATAGTTTTATCTACCTGAGCTGCCAAATAAATGCACATGTAAATGAAAATGTAAGGTTATCTAAAACTTTGACTCTTCTGCATGTCTCCAGTGCACAACCTTGCAAATCTTTAGTGAAGAATGTAGTCAGGGCTGATTGCATCAAGCTTGCTTTTTTGTTTCCTTGACCATGAGGTGATGAAGAGTCCTGTGGCTTTCACCACAGGACTCCAGCACCGTTTGTCCGGGCATTGTCTGAGATTCAACAGGTTTTATTGAACTTAATTGTGTTTTTTTCAGAATCTGATTAAATTCTGACTCCAGATGGATTTGTTGTAGAAATGTATGTATCTGCATGCTTTAGGGGTTTAAAAAAAAAAAAAAAAAAAAAAGGAGCAAATTAGCTGAAGCCCAGTTCATAACTGTTAGCCAGCAACATGTAATACATCACATGGCTTGGCTTGCAGTAGACCTCAGGACTGAAGTTGGACTTTTTCAGAAAATTGCCCAGACTGAAGCATTCCCACAGGTGGGGTGCGTTTCAGCCAGCCTCTGGTACTGCTGGTGAATTCACGTTGCCTTTACCTGATTATTATTATTTTTTTTTATTTTAGGTAGGGAGTACTAAAATTGTCTGTTGGGTCTGTCAACTGATGCCACTGATGTTTTTGAATATATTTTTATATATATAATCGCTGTCTTACAAAAGGGTAAATGCTAAATTGAATTTGTGGATGTCTGAGTTTGCTGTCTTCTGTATATAATCAAGAAGATACGTGGATGCTGTTGTTGGACATGCTGTACCTTTGATTGCTGGCGGAATATAGGATGTTAATGCTTTTCCTATCTTTGCTATTAGGTATCAAATGAACCTGGCAACCGCTACAACATCCAGCTGATTAATGCACTGGTGCTCTACGTGGGTACTCAAGCTATTGCGCACATTCACAACAAAGGCAGCACGCCCTCCATGAGCACCATTACCCACTCGGCTCACATGGACATCTTCCAGAATTTGGCAGTAGACCTGGACACTGAAGGTAAGCTGGAAATGCTTCTAGTTCATGTGATGTTGAGTTTAACAGCGGATGGTCTGTTTGAGCCCTGAGAAATACAGATTATTTAATGTATAGTAAATTATACTGCTAGTAAATTCATGGTAAATGATGCTACATTAGAATATTAAACTCTGAATACAGGAGCAATATTGAAACAAAATGTTCAAGGTATTCAAAGGAATGAGAAATAAGTTTAACATAGAGGAATTGAATTCTTACTGCCCCATCAGCTCAGGTTGATGAGGCTTTTTCATATCTTCAGTGGTTTTTCTTGTACCTTCATTAAAGCAGGCTCACAAACCTTAAGCAATACTAGCTGCTGCTTTATTCCTTTTGTGTGTGTGTGCAAGGGAAATAGTATGTGCTCTCTGTTCCTCTTCTGCAGGCCGGTACCTTTTCTTGAATGCCATTGCCAATCAGCTGCGATATCCCAACAGTCACACCCACTACTTCAGTTGCACCATGCTGTACCTGTTTGCAGAGGCCAACACCGAGGCCATCCAGGAGCAGATCACTAGGTGAGAGGGAAAGCATTGAACTTGCCAGAATTCAGCTTTTCGCTGTCCGTCCATGTGTATTTGAGATCTTTGCGCTCTAACTGTTTTTTTCCTTTGGGATTTCAGAGTTCTCTTGGAACGACTGATTGTAAATAGGCCTCATCCCTGGGGTCTCCTTATTACTTTCATTGAGCTGATTAAAAATCCAGCGTTTAAGTTCTGGAATCATGAATTTGTTCACTGCGCTCCAGAAATTGAGAAGTGAGTATAACTTATCCATAAAACCACAAACCCAATCTGTCTGATGATGAGATGCACCTTGAAGTGTTGGTGCTTCATAGTGGAAGCACCATTTGCTGCCATAAATGCACCTAATGCCACTTTGCTTCTGCATCCAGGTTGTTCCAGTCAGTTGCACAGTGCTGCATGGGGCAGAAGCAGGCCCAGCAAGTAATGGAAGGGACTGGTGCCAGTTAGATGAGCTGCACCTTGCGCTGTCAGTGTGCCAGCCTGGAGGTCCCCGTCCCATCAACTGACAGAAGACTCTGTAAGGCTCC